GATGTTAACATCTGGGAAGAAATAGCTGAGGACTGGAAAACATGGAGGAATATTATGGAAAGAACTAAAATACAGTGGAGTCCACTTATAATAAGTCTGGAAAAAACGAGAAGTCTGTTTTAAAAACACTATTCTAAAACCCCGTTTTTTCCCCTTCTTTACCTTTGTAAATAAAATAGTGCTATAGCGCTATCAGACAAACATGCGAGTCGGTTATAGCGGAATATTGCTGCTGCTGTGCACAGTGCATAGGCCAATTAAACATAATTAAAAAACCTCGCCAGTTGAGAAACTTGTTGGTGATCTAGCGAAACACAGAGTGGGAGAGCCAATGTGTGTCAACAATGAAGGCCAAAGCGACTGAGTAGGGAGGGTGTGGCTTTCTTTCTGATCGCCAACGCCGAGCTGTCAGTCAACACCGCTAGATCTAGCACTAGAGAAAGAAACCTGATTTGATTTTTGATCAAGTAAGACCTAAAGGTCATGTTGAAATCAAATCATCAGCAGGGGAGATATCAAAAGGAGATAAACAGAATCACAAAATCATAGATTGGACCTACTTTACCTTGAAGTTATTACTGGATCCCTTATAGGAGAATCCTGCTATAACGGACATTTGGTCCCGGTCCCCTCCCTCTCGTTATAACAGGATTCCACTGTACTAGAGAACAGCCTTAGAAACCACTAGGCTGAGAAGCGCCAACGACGAAAGGAAAACAGTGGAAATACAGAGCTTCAATCTACGACACTAATATGCAAGCACTGCAACAGAATCTGCGCTTCAAACATAGGAAGAATTAGCCATGAAAAAAGCTGCTTGAAGACAGCCTTGAGATCATCTTAAGCTAAATTGACCATCTGCTTAGACGAAAAGAGCCATATATAGCCAATCACATGCCGCCTAGCGATCACGCGCCTCTTGCATGCCGGCATCTCGCGTTTGGAATGCGTGATCTAATTTCCAGCTCTAGTGTTTTATCAATGGATGGGTGGTAATTTTAAGTTGGTACGTAAAATCTACACGCAGAGATCTGAAATTTTACGGCAATAAAGAAGATGTGGGGCGCTTGTGTGGTCGGCGATCAACCCACAGCTCCCGCTTATTTTTCGAACCGCACTGGAAATTCGCACAAACACGGCAATATCTCCGGTTCTAGTAATCGTTCGGGATTGTACGCTGGCATGTCGTTAGTATAACCTTTCCTCTGATTGGTTGTCGAGATTCATTTATTTTCCTTCAGGAGTTTTCCCGTAATTATACTTAGAAGAAAGTCACCTCTGATTCCGAGCGGCCCAAAAATTACCCCTCGCACGGGGGCCGATTTGCGGCCCAAGGCGCAGCGGGAAATTGGCATTGCTAATCAAAGTAACCAACATAAGTTTTGTTAGAATAGATCAAAATCGAAATGTCTACCAAAAAATAAAAACCTGCATGGAGAGGTTACATGGAATACAATTTGTCCCCTGACACATGCGTCAGCAGGTCAAACTCTCGCTGACATTAGGCAGGTTGACCAGCGCCCCCCCCCCCCCCCCCCTTTTACACTACTTTTCTTGCATTTTCCTCCCCCCCCCCCAAAAAAAAAATAAAAAAAAATAAATAAATAAATAAAAATCCGGTAATATTACATTATTCGCTTATAATAATGATGTATGACATTTATAGTAATGACTGTCTTGTAAATGAAGCGTGCCTGAAGCCGAAGTTACCGTGCTTAAAGGCGTGTAATTTATATAGCAAAATTCGGTAAGAGCCGTTCAGCGTGCTTGAGTCCGAAACGTGCTTTATCTGTCCTCAGAAAAATTCGCGCGCGCAATTTTGGCCTCAGCGTAATTTTTGCGCAACTTTTGCCATTTTCGTGAATTCGCAAATTTTAGGCAATTTTTGGCAAAAATAATTTAATTTCGATAAAAATAATCGAAATTGTCTTCCACAACTAAAAATAACGATGGGGGACAATTGGTACCTGCATTTGGATCTAGGGCCTACCACTTCCTTTTGACTACGCGGTGCCCAGCCCAGTGCACAACGGGTTTGTTTTTGAGGCAACGAGTCGGGCGCGATCGATTTGTGCCATGATAGCCACTTTGTGCAATCAGTCTGTCTAGCAAACCGACCCGTCCCGACCTGACCTCCCCAATAGTCCTGTTTGGACTGAATCATCTTTTACTTCTTCTAGAATCTAGATCTAGCTAAATCTAGACTCTAGATCTAGATCTTTTAAGTAAACTCAATCGTAAACACGATCGTCTGATTACTTAGCTTGCTTGGTTCCGTAGCACCAGGTAGATCTAGATAGATCTAGATATAGTATAAAAATGTGTGAAAGACTTAAGCTAGGAGGGTAGATCTAGACTTGGATCGATTCTTCCAGAAAACCCCTAAAGGGGACGACGGACGTTCAAGTAAAATAAACTTACGCCTGGAAAAGGCCTCTATGGGG